AAATTTATATAGTGTACAAGGTCACCATTTTAACCACTTTAAAGTGTACAATCTAGTGCTATTTAGTACATTCACAATGTTATGTAATTGTAACATTGATGAGAGAGAAACATTGATGAGAGAGAAACACCAATCCATATCCTCACCTACACTTACTATTTTCCTCTTTTTATTACAGCCATCCCAGTGGGTGTCTCATTGTGGTTTTGATTTACATTTCCCAGTGACTAATGATGCTGAACATCTTTTCATGAGCTTGTTGAACATCTGTATTAGTTCTTTGAAGAAATATTTATTTCAGTCCTTTGCACTTGTTCAATTGGATTGTTTGTCTCTCTGATGAGTTTTAGTTCTTTATGTATTCTAGATTTAAAAAAATGCTTTTATTGATTTCAGAAAGAAGAAAGGAGAGGGAAAGAAACATCAGTGATGAGAGAGAATCATCACTCAGCCACCTCCTGCACACACTCCCACAGAGGAGCGAGCTTGAAACCTGGGCATGTGCCCCGACCTGGAATTGAACCCCGAACTCTTGGTTTATGGATTGATGCTCAACCACTGAGCCACACCAGCTGGGCTATATATTCTGTATTTTAATCCCTGTTGAATATATGACTCAAAAATAATTTGTCCCATTCTGTGTTGTCTTTTTACTTTCTTGATACAATCCTTTAATTCATAAAATTTTTAGTTTTTATGAAGTTCAATTTATGTATATTTTCTTCTGTTGCATGTGCTTTTGGTGTCATATCTAAGAAACCACTGCCAAATCCAAGGATATGAAGATTTCAACCCTACAATTTTTTCATAAGAATTTTATAGCTTTAGCACTTACAGTTATTAATAGGTCTCTAACCCATTTTTAGTTAAATTGTGTACATGGTATAAAGTAAGGGTCCAACTTCATTCTTTTGCATGTGGATATCCAATTTTCCCACAATCATTTGTTGAAAATACTGTCCTTTCCTCATTGAATGTTCTTGGAAACTTCGTTGAGAATCACTTAACTATATATGTGAGTGTTTACTTCTGGGCCAGTCTCTTCCATTGATTTATATCTCTGTCCTTGTGCCAGAACCACACTTTTAACTGCTCTAGTTTGAATATAGGTTTTGAATTCAGGTTGTGTGAGTCCTCCAACCTTGTTCTTTTTGTCAAGATTGTTTCTGCTATTAGGGACCTCCTGCAATCCATGTGAATTTGAGAATCAGCTTTTCAATTTTCCTGAAAAAGGCTATTGAAATTTTTATGAGAATTATAGATAGTATTGACATCTTGAAAACGTTGTTTTCCTGTCCATAACCACCATGTCTTTCCATTTACTTACATCTTTTTAAACTTCAACAGTGTTCTGTAGTTTTCAGCATAAAAATCTTTCTCCTCCTTGATTAGATTTATTCCTAAACTATTAATACTTTTAGATGCTAGTATAGGTGGATTTATTTTCTTAATTTTTTTTTAATCGTTCATTGCTGGTATATAGAAGCACAACTGATTTGTGTGTGTTGATCTTGTACACTGCAACTTTGCTAAATTCATCCATTAGTTCTAGTAACTTTTTGGTGGGTTCTTTGACATTTTCTATGTATAGGATAATGTCACTATGAATGGAGATAGTTTTACCCCTTTCTTTCCAACTTGAATGCCTTTTATTTCTTTCTGTTCCTCTAACAGCTCTGGCTAGGGCTTCCAGTACAATGGTGAATAGCAGTGGTGAAAGCAGGCACCCTTGTCTTGTTCCTGATCTTAAGGAGAAAGCTTTCAATCTTTCATCATTGTTTATGATGTTAACTGTCTTTTCCATAAATACTATTTATCACATTAAAGAATTTCTCTCTAATCCTAGTTTTTTTGAGAGCTTTTATTATGAAAGGGTGTTGGATTTTTGAAATGCCTTTCCTGCATCCATTCAGATGATCTCCCCCCCCCCCACATCGTTCTTTTACTGAGAAGTATAAGATTGATTAATTTTCCTATATTGAATTACCTTTGTATTTCTGGGATAAATCTCATTTGTTCATGATGAATAATCCTAATATGCTGTTGGACTCTATTTGTTAATTTTTTGTTGCATCTATATTCATCAGGGATGTAGTTCTGTAGTTTTCTTGTGTCTTTGTCTGGGTTTGGTATCAGAGTAATGCTGGCCTCATAGAATGAATTATTCCGCCTCTTCAGTTTTTGGCATGTTCCCCAGCTCAGTCCTGGTCCTTTTTTCCTTCTGTTCACACATTCAGTTTCCTCGTCTCTTTACACACCTATGTGTAGATGCTTTCAGATCTGTATTTCCAACCTGACCACGCTCATTCAGGGACTAGTTCACTCTACAGGTCTAACAGGCATCTCAATGTTAATATGTCTTTCCCCCAAGTCTCTCCTACATTAGTAAGTGACACTGACTTCCAGCTGCCAACCAGTCCCTGAATCCTTGAATTGCTGTCTTGGTACTAATTCTCACCTGCAGACAGGAGAATCCACTGGAGTTCATTTATGCAGGAAGGGATGTGGTAGAAGATATTAGGTAGATTATAGCGTCCATGGGAGGGTCAGGTAACAAGGAGCAGCCAGAAACATCAACAACCTGGAGAAACACCTGACCATGCTGTGGGATGTGTTAGAAAAATTCCCACTGCCCTGCTCCCTTTTGCTCAGCACCATTGCTGCTGGGGACATGACCTGAACTGCTTCAGACAAACCAAACACATCTATCACCATCTGCTGTGACAGCCACTACCTGTGGCTCCTTCCACATCTTATGTGGTGCATGTATTAGCAAAAACAGGCATATCTGTGACCTCAAACACAAGTGACCCAGGGCATGTAGCTTTGCAGTCCCCAACTTCTGCAGGCAGGAGAGCACACTAGAGGTGGTGGGCATGGGTTATGATCAGCTGATTCAAAATGCCTCCCAGTATCCTCCTTGGCTTCTCTGTCCCATCCTCTCCACAGCCGACTGTCAGCCTGTCCTCTCAGTGCTCTTCTAAGCATATCCTGCTTTGACCATTTCTCACAACCTCTGTCATCGCCACTTTGATCAAGCCCTAACACTCTTAACAAGATTGTAGCAGTTGCTTCCTGACTGGACTCCCTGCCTCAACCATCTGTGGTCTCCACACTGCAGACAGGGGTGAGATGTTTGGAATGTAAATCAGATAGTGTCACTTCCTTTCCAAACTCTCCCCACAGTGGTTTCCCACGACACTCAGAATAAAACCGGACCCATGACCACGACCTACTTATCCCTGCCGCCTTTCCAGCCTTGTCTGCTTCGTGTAGCCCTCATTCACCACGCTCCTCTGTACACCAGCGTGCCCCAAGCAAACCAGATCCGTTCCCAGCCCAGGGCTTTTTGCACGAGCAGCTCCCTCGCTTTCTTCCGGCCCTTGCACAGCCTTCTCTGCCTTGACCATCTGCTTTATCCAGATTTATGTTCTCTGTTCATTGGTTTATTTGTCTCCCTCCACTGGACCTGACCGGGGCTGTGCAGCGACTGGCCAAAAGTAGGTGACCAGTCAGTACCTTTTAAATAAATGAAACCATCTCAGTTGCCCAAGTTTTGGGAAAAACTTCTTGGAAAACATCCCTGACTTTATGGATATAGCAAGGAAGGAAACAGATCTCTAGATATCATGACTGGAGACAGCACCTGGAGGACTCCTGGGCCTGCCCTGTGCAGGTCCAGCTTTCCTCTGCACAATAGGCTCCACCTGCAGTGGAGCTGGAGGGATGGAGGGGAGGCGAGATGGCGGGATTGGGGGGGGGGGGGGGCATTTGCTTCTACTACTTTGTTACCAGTCTCCAGCAAGCATGAGAGGCCAGCCCTGCCAGGTGGCTCAGTGACTGAGTGTTGACCTATGAACCAGGAGATCACAGTTGGATTCCTGGTCAGGGCACGTGCCTGGGTGCGGGCTCAATCCCCAGTAGGGGCGTGTAGGAGGCATCCCATCAGTGCCATCAGTGATTCTCACCATTGATATACATATACATATACATATATATATATGAATGAAATCTTCTTCTCCCTCTCTGAAATCAATAAAAATATATTTTAAAAAGAAGAAGAAGAAAAAAGAATGAGAGTTCAGTATTGCACCTTGACCAGGCGTCAGGGTCACTGTTGACCTTTTCTGAAGTCAGCTTCTGGATCCAGGAGGAGCTGCTGAGGGACAAAGCCACCTGCTCTTATTCTGGGACAAGGCCCAGAGGGCGCAGTAGAGAAGCCCTAAGCAATGTGCTCACTGGGCCGGGAAGGGAAGGCCGGTCCGTCTACACTGGCAGCAATCCAAGTCCACTTTCTCTATGCGGGTGGAAATCGGGGGTCCAACTGTGTTCCGTAGCCCCGTGGTTGGCAAATTGCAGCTCGTGAGCCACATGTGGCTCTTTGGCCCCTTGAGTGTGGCTCTCCCACAAAAATATCACGGCCTGAGAGAGTCTATTTTGAAGAAGTGGCATTAGAAGAAGTTTACGTTTAAAAAATTTGGCTCTCAAAAGAAATTTCAATCGTTGTCTTGTTGATATTTGGCTCTGTTGACTAATGAGTTTGCAGACCATTGCCCCAGCCCGTCTGTCTACACCACATCTGTCTACACTGGGGGAAACCAGGGCTCAATAGTCTTCGCTGATAGAAGTCAAAAGTCTGTTGGGTTTACACCCCCCCACCACCCCCCCCACCACCCCGCAGAAACCGGGTGCAGAGCCACAGCCACTAGTCTGATCCTAAGAAGACAAAGTAGAAGCAAATGCCCCACGCCCCCACGCCCCAGCTCTTAGAACAGGAGCCCGCGGGCCCGCCCAGGTGAGAGCGCCAGGTCCGGGCACTGGCACTCAGGGTCCGCCCCGCACCTCGCCCACGCCCCTGGGTGGGTGGGTGGGAGGTCAGGCCCCGCCCGGCCCCCTCCCGGAGCCCCGTGGGTGTGGCCCCGTCCCCGCCGGGGAGCCGGGTGCGGAGGTGTCAGCCCCGCCCCCGCCGGGGAGACCCCCGGAGGTGAGGCTCCGCCCTCGGGGTCCGCCCACCGCTTCCGCCGCCGCGGCCGCCAGGGTGGGGGCGCGGCCCCGAGGGTCCGCCCGGCGGACGGCGGCCCCACTGCAGCCTGGGCTCCCGGCTCCGGCGGCGGCGGCGGCGGCGGCCTCCGTGGGGACACGGCCCCGCGGCGGACAAAGGCGGCCCCGCCATGGCTCTGAGCGCGGACGGCCCCGGCGGCAAGGGCTCGGGCGCCCAGGTAGGGACCGGCCGCTGGGGGGGGGGGGGGGGGGGAACCTTGGACTTTCTGGTCTTTGGAACACAGTGTAGCAAACTTTTCCCTGAACCTCATGCATGTTATTTAGGAGGAAAAGACGCTTTCCCAAGACGGCTGCGCGGTCCTGGGTCCGGGGGAGTGCAGAGGGAGGGGGTGTGGGACAGAAAGACGCCGGCGGGACTGCTGGGGATGGGAATGCCCCCAAGTCACCCATTAGCCCAGGCGGTGGGACCAGCCCATGCATGAACCAGGGTGCAGAAGGGTACAGAGCTTGTACCGAAAGAAGTGCCAGGACTGGCTTCCAGGTTGGAGGGTCGGCTGATTTAAATAATGATCGTCGACGAGGGAAACAGGACAGTCATTTCCGATTTGGAAAAGTGCGATGGGAGCTGTGTGTGTGGCCCAGCGGCGTGCAGAGCAACCAGCGTGTCGGGTTTATGCTTCCCTTTTCCCTGGGAAACGAGATTCGAGTGTTTTGGGAAAGTAATTACATTCGACTGCTGCTACCCAACAGCATTTTTTACTGAAAAAGTTTAGCTGGTGCTTTCGGGTGTCTAATTAACAATTAGAACATGTAATTCAAAATTAAATTAAACGCATAATGAATGCCTTCCGAAAGGGCTGTGCTGAGCAGGCAGCAGGCGCCGGGAGGAGGGAGGGCGAGCGTCTCAGCTTCGTGTGGACAGAGTTCCCAGTGGACCGGAGCGAGGCAGGGTCTCTGGGTCAGGAGGAACTTTCCAGGCGCTTCATGGGAAATGTTTGCTCTCTGAAACGTATTGGGAGGTGGAGATGTTCAACCGCTGCACGTTTCCATTCACCGGGATGGGATTCCGTCTGCAAAGCTGGGCATCTGTAACCAGGACAGGAAGCCCACTTTCTCTTTTTTAATATATATTTTATTGATTTTTTACAGAGAGGAAGGGAGAAAGATAGAGAGCTAGAAACATCGATGAGAGAGAAACATCGACCAGCTGCCTCCTGCACACCCCTCACTGGGGATGTGCCCGCAACCAAGGTACGTGCCCTGACTGGAACTGAACCCGGTACCCTTCAGGCCGATGCTCTATCCACTGAGCCAAACTGGTTTTGGCGCAAGCCCATTTTTGCATCTGAGGTGGTGCCGCGTTTTGGTCTTACTGTGCTGAGTCTAGTCTGCAAATGGCGTGGGAGCAGAGTGGACTGGTCAGATGGGCCCCAGGGAACAGAGTCCTGGCCTTCCCCAGGGGCGGTGGGGCCTGGATGCTGGATACCCGGTGGCTAGCAGGCCAGCCCTCATGTTTGGTTCCATTGAAGGGGTCTGGTGTGGGTCTAGTCCAAATGGCCTTGGTGAAACGAAGACCTTTGTGTCTGGCGTCTGGTGGTGGTCTCACATGAATACATGTAAAAGATAAGGAAAGAAGCCGGCCTTGAATTTGAGAGCGAAGATGTGTGTTCACTGGTTGAATCATCCAACCCAACCTAGGAGTCCCCTGGTCCCCGGATCTCAGTGTTTCTTTTTCGAGAATCATTCCAGCTCAGTTCACATGCCACTGCCTCCCTCCTTCCCCACAAAACTGAGGTGTCCTCTCTTTGTGCTTGAACAAAAATTGCATCACCGAGAGCAGATGTGGGGAACGTCCAGCCCGAGGGCCAGGTACAGCCCGAGAAATCATTTGGTCTGGCCCTGCCAAGGCATTCAAGGTGGGTTAATAAAATGTTTGATTAAATACAGCCGGCTAATTTTTAACACATTGCGGACCAGTAGTTTTATTGCCAGCTTTACCCAGATACATTTCTATTGAACGAGTACAAAAAATGTTTTACGTAAAATGTTAAAGGCACACTTTAAAATTAAATACCCATTGCATTTTGAAGTTATTTATTACATGTTCTTACAAGCGAATACTTTTTAAAGAATTCTCATGGTCGGCCACAGCCCTTAGAACAGAAAAATATGAGAATTCTCGTGATCCGTCCGAAATGTGTTAAGTTGGTAATTTTGTATGGCTTGCGAATGAGGTTATAAATATGCAAATGGCCCTTGGCAGAGAAAAGGTTCCCCACCCCTGACGTAGCACCTGCTAGGCCTTAATAGCCGCCCACCCAGGTGGGATACCCATTCTTCAGATGGTGGAAAGTGAGGCTTTTTGTTGCCTTGTGTCTCCCAGCCAAGAAGCAGCCATGAAACAGTGGGGTGACTGTTCAGTATTGAGCCCAGGGTTTCTGTGTCCAGTCCAGAATCTCTGAGGGTGGGGATGGAGGCTTCTTCACTGCATCCCTGGGCCGGGGCTCACTGGTCCAGCTGAGGAGAACGAACCCAGCACACTTCTAGGGTTGGGGAGTCAAGAGAGGAGGCTGGGGTGAAGGAAGTGGGGGTGCAGGGGATGGGCTGAGAGGTGCAAAGTCTTGTCCTACACGTGTTGATCCTGGGGTGCGTGGGGAATCCTGAGTTCTGTGAAGCGAAGGCATCCTACCTTCGCTATGTGCCCTTCAAAGGGCCAGGAGAACAGGTGCCCTTGGAGTGGGGAAGAGGCACCAGACCCCGACCTATTGCCCGGAGAACAGGCCTGGGTCTTAGAGATTGGATATGCGCCCGCATCCACTCTGGGTTAGCTGTTGGTCTTCGGCCCAGTAGTTCAGCCTCTCTGAGCTTCAGTCTATGCCTTGTGTATGGGAATGACATGTAGCCCCAGTACCTCTTGGAGCACCATAAGGTCTGATTTTAAAAATGGATCTGCAGATGCTTCTAGAAAGGAAACTCAGTTCATCATTTAGCTAAATGTCCTCAGGTTGAAAGTTGCCTCTGTCCTGATATCTGGGACACTTTTCCAGGCCTCTCTGTTCACATCTGGGCCCAAATTCTCAAAAACAGAGCTTTCAGATGCTTTTAGACAAGTGTCTGACCTAACAGAATTTTCCCCAACTCAGAAAATCAGATTGTGCCCAAGATACTTTGTGGTGAATTTCTTTTCATCTCTTTAAAACTACTTATGTTTCTGAGACCGAGGAATGGGCTTAAATCCAATGCAACAACAATTAGGAATTAATTAATTTCCAGTTCTGCACTAGAATTGGCCATGTCAGCTAGGTAGATAGATGCACCTCACCTGCACACAGTCCCCTGACCCAGGGACCCCCAGCCCTCATACCTCCCCTGCCCAGCCCCTTTCCTGCTTGGTTTCTCCATATGTGGGCCTCCTCCATATGAGGGTCTAAAATCACCAGTGCCTGGCTTTCCTTAATTGCTTGTCTCCCCAGGCTTTGTTTCATTCTCCTTGTTTCTCTGATGCCTGGAATGGTGCATGGCGTGCAGTAGGTGTCACATGATAGTGACCCTCCCCTCCCTCCTAAAGCCCACTTTCATTCTTCTGTCTAACCCCCCCCCCCCCCCAAATTTTTCTGGGCCACACAGATGCAGAGCCTGCCCTGTGGGACCTGCGGGAGCAGCCAGGGAAACCTTGTTTGTCTCCGGGATATAGTCAAAGCAGACCAAAGACAGTCACAGAGAAAGGCTCAATACACCCTCATGTGACGTAATGAGTGTGCTTTGTGTGTGTGTTTTGGGGGTGGGGATGGTGGTGAGCCGAGCAGAAAAGAAATGCCTGAATTAATTTCAAATGAATGGAAAGGGCAGCTAGGAGGCTGACCCCTCCCTTCATTGCCAAGTGGAGGAGATGTGGTTTGGCTCAGTAGAAACTCTTTGACCTGTAATGAGCTGTAGCCATCAGGTGACTTAGCCGGGAGTGTGAAGGGGTTGGAATGAGTTTCTGAGAGCTCTTGACTCTGTCCCTGCTAGAGTGAGACAAAGGGCAGCGTGGCATAGAGGCAGCGGCTCAGAGGTTGGGATGTGGGCCATGCAGCTGGAGGGGCCTGGGTTCAATCCTGGTTTCCCCATGAGTGGGTGAGCAGGCCAGCCCCTCAACTCATCTTTAGAATGGGATAGTAACAGCATTACAGTAGGCTTTCAACAGCATCTGCAGTACTTGAAAAATGTCAGCTGTTATTCTGTGATTCTGTAGAGAGAGAGATTTTACTACAAATAAGAGGTAAAAAGCATTACATTTTAATTTGTTGTCAAATCACTTAAGGAGAAATGTTCAATGAAGTTATCTTCAAGACATTCAAAAATATCAACTGAGAAGAGGGATTATAACTGCAATTATGTACTGTTTCAAACAATCACCAATTTTTTTTTTAAAAAGAAGAAATATTTTGTGAAAGTGCCCAAATCAATAGGCCATGAATTCTACGTGGTTCCAAGGTTTCGGAGCTTTTCTTCTGGGTTATTCAGAGACTAATCCGGTGTGACTCAGTGGTTGAGCGCTGACTTTTGAACCAAGACAGAGAGCGGTTGGATTCCTGGTCTGGGCACATGCCCGAATTGTGGGCTTGATTCCCAATAGGGGGCATGCAAGAGGCAGCAGATTGGTGATTCTCTCTCATTGATGTTTCTCTCTCTCTCTCTCTCTCTCTCTCTCTCTCTGTCCTTTTCTCTCTGAAATCAATCACAATGTATTTTGAAAAAATAAAGAAAGAAAACCTAATTGGAGCACGCATTTAGTTAGTGTGGAGCACCACAATGGGCAAAGGTGTGAGCATTTAGTTCTCAAGCTGACATTTGTGTGTCCAGAGATTCTGCCACTTTTGACTGTAGCACAGAGACTCATGGTGGCCAGTGACATATGCTGACTAGCCTCTGACACTAATGCAGCCTGTCCCCAAAGCACAGTGTTACACAGGAGAAGCATGTACAAGGGTTGGGTATAGAGAGCAACAGCAACAAATGAGGAAAAATATCTTAGCACAATTTCTGAAAGGTACTATAAGTAATTAAAAAAATAATAATTTATGAGATGAGGTTCACATAATGTAAAATTAACCATTTTAGAGCAAACAGGTTAGTGGCATTTGGTAACATTTACAATGCCGTGCAACCACCTCTATCTATTTCCAAAACGTTTATGTCACCTCAAAGTAAACCCCCACACCTCTTAAGCAGTTTC